AAGTCATCCTATGACGGGATAAGTATGGCCGGGGAACGCCTGACAGATGTGGCTGTCTGACTGCGCCCATTTGATCCGGAGGGGAGGAGTGGCTGTGTTGGGCCAAACTGCCTGTGTGATCACAGCCTTTGTGTCTTCCCCAGCTTTGCTGCAATCTGTCCTAAACCTGATTTGATACAGTTTGTTCGGATTCTTTAAAGACTGCAAAAAAACTTTGTGTGGCGGCTGGGAAACGGCAGCCACTGTGGACTGAGGCAAGGAGAGTGAAGGGGAAACTTCACCGTGGATGCTCTGTTGCCCTCGTGAATGCCTCTGAATTTGAAGCAGCAGCAAGAGCTACGCAGAGGCTCACCTCCAGGCGGAAGAAGCCCAGAAGTCAACTTTACAGCATTTTCGGGTGTGTAGCTAAAACCATATTTTCTGCTGATTACATCATGTGCCCATGCTGTTAATACATGTGTTAACCAGCTCCAGAAGGGAAGTAACGTAGGCCATTGCGGGCTTTACATTTGAGCTGATTTAATCCGCGTGTGTGAGAAAGGCCTACGTTGATGCAGCTGCTACGTGGCTGGGAGATTAGCAAGCATCTCTTACCAATTCTGCCAGAACAGGAAGGAAGATTATGATCGTGGCTGTGTTACTAGCAAATTCCGTGAATAAGGCAATTACTACAGTGATGAGAATAACAGCCACAGGAGGAGGGAGGTTCTCCAGGGGGTCCAGGTGGCCTCCAATCCAGATGGACAAACCAGACTCCTGCAGCAGGGAAGAAAATCCAGAAATTTGCACAAGAGAGTTGCCTTGACTGTGTCTTTTGTGTCTTTTGTGACTTTCTAATTTCTGCTTGCAAAATGATAACTTAAAGCCGTTTCATGCCTTTAATAAGGGATTATACAAAGCCATAGAGGCTGATTCTGCACCCATCTGTTTCCTCGCAGTTTTTCCACAGCCGCGTCGGGAAGTTAATCTCCCTCTACACTGCATGCCGCTTTCACTTGCTTTGTTCATCAGGTTTTATGGTACCTTCTGCATAGATTTACGGCCATTCAGGGGTGACTTCGTAATCATTACAGCATTGCCCCGGGTATCTGAATGTGGGTTTGAGCTGTACCTTTTCCTTCCTCCGCTTCCGATGTGAAGGGAACAATAAACAGCCAACATGACATGGCTTCATTGATCTCTGTCAGTTCCCCGCCCCTATTTCCCCCTCTGTATTTATCACCTCACCATGAATTACTTGGCTCAGGTGGTTAATGAGCACTGAAGCAAGCACAGACACAGGAAAATCTGCATACCAATGCAGGAGCAAGTGCTGAAAACAAAATTGATGGCAAGTTGACAATGGGCAATGCAGAAACCAGGATCTAAGGCAATGCAATGAAAACAGATATTCCAAGGCAAGGGGGAACCGGGTCGAGTGCTGATAAAATGTGGCACGAATGCCAGATGCAGAATGGACTAGAGGCTAAATGGGACCTTAGCATTCAGAGGCAAAATATCTCGGAATGCCAGTTGCTGAGGGGCATTAAAAGGGGAGTCTTTGGCCTCCATACCCTCTTTCTGGGTCTTCCATGGCATCTGATTGGCTTCTGTGGGAAACAGAATGCTAGAACAGATGGACCTTTGATCAGATCCAGCACAACTGCTCTTATGATCAGATAATTTCATACCCAGGGACTTGTGGGGCAGGGGGCAGAATACGAGTGGCCATTTCACCTCACTTTCTAGCTCACCAGTATGGTATTAAGAGTATCAGATTAGGATCTGGGAGACTCTGCCATGGAAGTTTGCTGGGTGGCCTTGGGCCAATTGCTCTCTTTCACACTAACCCACCTAACAAAGTATGCTACCCTGGGATCCTTGGAGGAAAGTCAGGATAAAAATGCACTAAAATAAATATGATCACACGTGAATAATAATAATAATAAGAGATTGGATTTATACCCCGCCCTTCACTTGGAGTCTCAGAGCGGCTTACAAACTCCTTTCCCTTCCCCTCCCCACAACAGACACCCTGTGAGGTGGGTGGGGCTGAGAGAACTCTGACACAAACTGCTCTTTTTCAAGGACAGCTGTGCCAGAGCTTGTGACTGACCCAAGGTCACATCAGCAGGTGCAAGTGGAGGAGTGGGGAATCAAACCCGGATCTCCCAGATTAGAGTCCACACACTTAACCACTACACCAAACCGGCTCTTAACCACTACACCGCATACTTAACCACTACACCAAACGTGACATGTTGAGCAAACGCTTCTTTATGACTTGTAGGAAGACTCAGGTGGCTAGGCTCTCATAGCGGAAGAGAGCTCACACTGGGTTGTTTGGGTCATCTGCCTGAGGCATGGGACGTTGCCCTCCAAAACTCTGATTCTACTTCAAATTAAGCCTAACTTGCATGGCCTGGAAAGCCCCTATGCAGTGATTGTCCTCTCTGTTTTCCCATATGCCCTTTGCCATATTTTATCTTCAAAACAACCTTTTGAGGTAGGTTAGACTGATAGAGAATAACTGGCTTACAGTCACGACGGGCTCTTCCGTGCTCTCATTTTCGTCACTTGTGTGCCCTATTACTTCGGGTGTTATTTTCTTTTCCACCTGTGTTTTGATATTACAGTTGCCTGGTCTTTGATGATCATAAATGTTGTTGACAATGACGAAATTACAGGGAAACATGACAGGGATACTGCAATGTACTATCAAAGTGACCACTAGAGGGAGCAAAGCGCCTGTGGAAAAGGGGGGGGGGAACCCAGAGCAATAGGGGCACACAAGCAACGAAAATAAGAGTGCAGAAGAGCCCCCAGTGAACCTCAAGGCAGTGCAGGGGTCTGGATGAGTCATAGTCTAACATTCTAACCCCTCCACCACTCCAGCTCATGAAGTGTAGGTGCAGCATTTCCAGGAAAAGTCAGTACCTAGAAAACCAGAGATATCAGACAAGCATACCTCACATCCTTTGGCCATAGCAAAACCTCCTCCAAGCAACAAAATGATGTTCCAAGGTACACTCTCTTCAGCTTTTCTCCATGATAGCAGGGGCTTATTTTCAGTGTTTGGTGCTATGCAAACAAGTTAATGACACAGAAAAGAAACACTTTGCATCATTTTTAACCTGAGCCAAAGGCTCTATGAAGTCCTCATGCTCAGACACTGCTGTCTACCTTCCCCTTGTAATTGTGATTTCCAGGAATACTCTTCCATTCAGACACAGTGATAACCTGCAATCCCCCCTCCCCTGTTTCTAAACCTGGAGTCCAAACCGCAGCCCAGGGCTGGATTGGAAACTTGGTTTTCAGGCCAGGGAACAAGCCACAGTTTGTTGTTCTGTAAGGTTTGGATGTGCAATGTTCCCTCTAAGCTGTGGAGTTTCGTGAGCAAAAATTCTACTTTGTGAGCTACTGGCATTAACGTTGTGAGCGAGCGATTTGGCTCCTGCATAAATCAGTTTGCTCTGGAGCCATCCTTCCTGAGCTGAGACAAAAATGTGTGAGCCAGAGGCTAAAAAACTGTGAGCTAGCTCACCCTAACTCAGCTTAGAGGGAACACTGGTCACAGGAATGCACAAGGCATTAGTCTCTGAGCTGTGTGCAAGGGGGGGGAACAGGGAAGGGGATGAGCATGTGAGCCTGAAGACTTCCAAGCTGTCTTCCTATAAAGACACACCACACTGGATTAGACGGGCACAGATCTGATCCTTACATGAGCTGATGTGAATAGGAATTGCTGTGCTTAAATGCTTAGGATGGGCCACAACTTACAAGAAGAGTCATAGCGCCAGATTACAAACACACACCAGAATTGCAGTAGACTGCTTTCTGACATCACTAATTACAGGTAAGCAAGCATGTATATTTAGGAAGCCATGACGCTGGAACGGAACTGAAGATCTGGTTTAACCCACAATCCAAACTGAAACCAGATGCTTTCTATTGCACAAGCTCTGAAGAATTAATCTCTTTTATGGGAAAGACTGGGCATGCAGTTTTTACCATATCAAATTAATCAAAAGGCCAAATCCATTTGATCCTGAGTGTGTAATCATACATGCTCCCTGTTGATTTAGTCTGTCTCGAACATTTTTTTACCCCACCCTTCCTCCAAGAAGTGCTGAGTGGCATACCTCATTGTTCCTTTCCCATTTTACCCTCACACCAACCCTGTGAGATAATTTAGCCCAGGAGGGTGTAAGTAGCCCAAAGGTGATAAGAACACAACAAAAGCCCTGCTGGATCAGGCCAGTGGTCCATCTAGTCCAGGCATGTCAAACATACAGCCCAGGGGCCGGAACCAGCCCGTCCAGGGCTCGTATCTGGCCCATGAGCAGCTGGGAGGAAACCAGTCTGAATGTGCACCAAAAGGGCCTATATTAGGGTATTACACCCCCTGCTGAGGTGTCTCCCTTCCCCAAACCTGGGCTCTCCTCAGGGTCTTCCCCCAGATCTCCAGGGATTGCCCAACCCAGATTTACAACCATAAGGGGCGAGAAGGATGGTTTGGCCCCGAGCTCTGCACAGCCAGTCCCCTTGGGGCCTGCCTGCTGCCCTTGGCTGAGGTGCTGGGCTGGGACATGCTGCTGCCACCTCCTCTGGGCAGAGCGCATTGGGCTGCTGCCTCTGCCATCTGGGTTGCTGGAAAGATGGCTGGCTGTTCATGTGCAGCAGGCAAAATCTCTTTGGCCCACCTCCCTGAGCCCAGCCAAGCTTGGAGGAGTGGGGAATCAAACCCATTCTCCCAGATTAGAGTCCATGCTCCTAACCACTACACCAAACTGGCTCTAAAACTACCCTGCCTGTTTGTTTTAGTGCACTGGTATAAATCTGCATGTGGTTCACACTTGGGTTACTGGAAACTGTTTGCCTCCATCATTTCTAAAGGATCTCTAAGAAGCCCTTAAGCCTCATAAAATCCTTTTCTGCCATTCCCTTAACATACTGGTTATTCTAACACCCCACATATCCCTCCACTATCTCTAAATAAGCTTTTGGTTCTGTGCTGAGGCACATGTGGTTCTAAAGCCATGGGTTGCAGATCCTTGCTTCAGACCAACCTGGGAACCCCACAAGGCCTCTAAGGGATCCTGTTCTGATGTCAAGTCACCTCATCTTCCATAATATCTCTATAATACCGTCCCAGATGTTTCTAAGCAAGTCTGTCCTGAAACTGGCCCAGGATGGAAAGGGAGGGGGATGTAATAAGAGTATGTTCAGGGTGAAAAATGACATTTAATAGGGCAGAGAGCACCCCAAAAGGATACATAGCCTTAGAAACTGAACACTCCTTTGGTGTGTGGTTAAGAGGTGTTATGACATCAGCAGCCAGCAGACTAAGGGAGCTGTCCTGTCCAGCGCGAGCTGTGCTAAGCCAACGCTCTCTAGGTGTGAGTCAACGCACGACTACTGAGGGGAGCTTAAATCATCTTTATTTAACTTCACACGCATTCAGAAGATCATTTACTCACAATCGACCAGATAGCTGGGTGGAAAGTTACATCTTGTGATCTAGGTCAGTTCTATAGCCATGGTAAGAAAGAGATGGGCTTCCCCTCTCCTTGCAGTAAGGGTTGATGGACAACGAAAACGGAAAAGAGCAATAAAACTCCTATCTTTGCGCCTCTGAGCTCAGGAAATTACTCTTAATGAGCCAGTCAGAGGGAAGCTTCTGGGACCCCTAACTGTGGACTCCAATTCCCAGGTGCAACAAGTCTTAAAGATACAGAGCAGTTTTACTAAACTACAGATAACGCTGACTGGGGCCAGCACAGGAGCGATCCTCAGCAGGTCTACTTGGAAGTAAGTCACATTTTATTCCATGGAGCCTACTTCTGAGAAACTGGACTTACATCTCCCTTCTTCCCTTTCTCTTTGAAAATTCTGAGCTCCAAAATGACAGGTCAGGTGATTAAAGGGAGCAGGTGACTCCTCCCACACACATACAATGACAGTCAGCTGATGCTTGCACACTATTCATTGAACACAGCTTGATGGTAATTTCTACAGGAAACCCAGAAAATAAGAACAGGGTCTTGGCGTTGGTGGCCCAGCCACTTACCTTTCAAGTCAAACCACCATTTGAGGGATGGCCTTTCTGAAGGGAAGAAGAACAATATTGTCACTATTGTGACTCCAGTAACTGCATCTGTGACAAAACTATCAAAAAAAAGGAGGAAGAAACATGTTGAAAGCAGAAAAAAAGGTCTTCACTGTTTTCATTATAAGGGGTGGAAGTGAATCAGCATCTCCCAAAGAAAATTTTGCATCAAATGTTGGTAACATTCATGGTTTGTTCCTCTGCTTTTAAATCTCTCCTGTGAATTACAATCCCAAAATGGGCTACTATCCTAATGGAAAAACTAGCTATAAAGCTAAATGAAAACTAAAGGGAATAAACATGAAGTCTGTATGTCTCATAAAGGCTTGTCTCCTGCATTTTGTTTGACTATTGATAGCTTGATTGATCACACAGGCCCAATGCACCCCTCTCCTTCTGTGAGATCAGAAGGTTATCTCTACTTTAGGACAAGGGTCTGGGAGAACATAAGAACATAAGAGATGCCAATGTTGGATCAGGCCAAAGGCCCATCCAGTCCAACACTCTGTATCACACAGTGGCCAGAAATACCAGTGCCATCAGGAGGTCCACCAGTGGGGCCCTTGAGCTGACTACACAGTTCAGAAGGAAACGTTGATAAATGAATCTAATTTGGTTAGGAATGATGATCTCTTTGAGACAAACTGAGACACCTACAAGATGAGTTCATTAGACATTCCTTGGTCTTAATTCAGCAGAAATACTTAAGCATCTTCTTATGAACAGCAAGTCACTCAACTGTTTTGTTAACTGTTACATACTTGATTGATTTGATCTGGAAGGAAGGAAGAAAGGCCCGAAACTTTGTATTCAGTGCATGGAATATGGCTGCAAGCCCATTTGACGCTCTGCCATTTCTTGCTGAGAAAAGTTTGGGATGCAATGCATACTGAAGTTGCTCAGAAAAGTTAAATGGACTATGTAATTTGGCCTTCAGTATGTTTATAGATAGTATTCCCAAAACCAAGATTCTGAAGTCATATGCCAATTGGGAGGACATTCTCATTACTCACATCAAACAGTCACTTTTCCATAACAGATGAACAATCAGATTGGCTTTTTCAAGAGAGGTATGAACATTTAAATCTATTTAATCCATTCAAACTGGACAACAGTATGAAAGAAACCAGGTGTGACCGTACAGGCCTGAAAGAAATTCCCTATAGCAGAGAAGAAGTATCTTACCCTGGTGTGAACAAGCTTGCCCAACCTGAGATAAATTTCGGGTCTCTGGAGAATAAAAGGATGGCAAATAAGCAGAAGAGAACAAAAACTGCCTGTTCTGCAAACCTGCAGGAGAAGGAAATTCAATGAGTCATTCATCAGATTTTTTCACCCTAAACTCGCTTATAAGTACAACTAAATTAACTAGATGGAACCTTTCATAACAGGCTCCTAGAAGGCTCCCAGCTTGCGAATAAATTATAACCTATAGGTCAGCAATGCCTCCAGTACTGAAGATTAGAAAGGGAATTTTTGTAGTGATATGTTCCAATATCTCAAAAATCATGAGAGTAAAATACTCGCATCAGCCGTACAACCAAAACAATGAGTATAACTATAGACAACTTGATTAATTTTTTATAATGAATGCAATTTTTAAAATGTGAGCATTTGTGGGATGTTTTAAGATGCAGACTACTGACATTGTGTCTCTGTTTCCTTCTCTTTTTAAAGCAAAAAAATATTTCTTAGTTGCTAATACACTTGTGGGGCAGATGTTTGGGGGATGGGACGGGAAGAGAAAGCAACCTTATAAGGGAGCACTTCCATGGGAACTCGCTCAGTTATACCTTATTCCTCTGTTCTTTATATATCTAGCAAATCCTAGGATCCAAATAAAAAAAACATTAGATTCAAGGGCAGGAGAGATGCTGACACCATGCATAAGAAATCTGGAGTTTGCTAATCAAATTGGCAGTGGCTGGCTTAATGGGCTTTCATTGCTCTTAGTAGGGGGGAAAGAGCCTTTGATTCTTGAGATGACATTCTGCAGGTTGCTGGTGCAGGAAGAAGGGGGGGGATGCTAATTTCTTTCATTTAGTGCTGGCAGAACAAGTGACTTCTCAAGAAACATTTGAATTAATAATTAGACAGGCTGACCTTGAACTGGTGTCATACTAGATGGGACAAGTCTTGTGACTGTGACAGGCATCCCCTTCCTTAAGTAGCATCTGCCCAGGACTGCAGTTGTGGGGTGCGTACGTGCGTGTGTGTGTTGGGATATGCTGTAGAGGGGACCAGGAAAATGGTACACTGGCTGAAAAGGTGAAACCTCTCCCCGTTAAAGTGCATCCCAGGCTGCATCAGGACCCTGCGTTGTAGCTCCTGAACAAGAAAAACCACTCGGTAGCTCTGAGCACGAGTCCCACTTCTCCTCTCCTATAACTTTTAACTTCTTTTCTTTCTTAACTTCTTAAGAAATCGTCGGCACCAGTTTCCTCTGACAAAATATTAAAGTGAAAGGAACACTATCCACTGAGAGATGTTTTAAACCGAATCCTCTTAATGACTTCTGCGCAACCTGAGCAGAACTCCGTTGGCTCTCCACAGTCATTATGTCAACAATTATTCATGGAGCCTGCAGCAGCGCATCGCTTGTCTGTGTGATCGTTCATGAGCATTTTACTACAAATATTCAAAACTCAGTGGGCTGGCTAATTAGAGAGTCTGTTCCTTGGTTAGTGTAATTTAGAAGGTGTGATTAACCAACACATCCTCAGCTGTGATGATTTGAGTGGACTCTCTAATTTGAAAGTTACTTTGGAGGCGTATTTGAGATAGGCCTTCTTGAGCCACCTTAACATAAGCTGAAAGTCAAAATGTTTGTGAAAAGTAAATAATAAATAAAAAAGAACGAGAAAGCAATGGGACAGAGGTTTCCAGTGATTTAAAAAAATAAAGGACAGTCTAATAAAACTGACCCAAAGAGTCAAACTACACATTACATTTCCCCCCCTGGCATTCATTTCAAAGTAATTCTTTTTCTTCTGAAAATGCACCTGACAGGGATACTTTTTTCAAGGAGGAGAATGCCGTGAAGGAGGTGGGGAGCTCTTTAACTTTTTTCTCCCCTGTTTTCTTGCGGGGGGGGGGGAATCCATTCCCAGACTGCTTTACCACCAGTGGGGATTGTGCTAGTTCCTTTGGAAGGCTACAAGCCACACAGCTGGCTTTATTTTTCAGCGACAAAATAGCAGAGGATCACCACCATCCCTGCTCTTGAACATGAAATAAACCATAATGTATCACACAGCACCAAAAGACAAAAAGCATTTCTCACATACCTGGAACATAGGATGGAAGTGCATTTTACCTTAGCGAGTTTATGTTCCCAAGCCCATATTTCCAAGATAATGTCTCCTTGTGTGTGTGTAAGTGGGATGCCATTTTAGGGAGAAAAATCAGTTTGGGGGGAGGTGATTAACCCTTCTCACACCTACCAATTTTTTCCCACCTCCTCATCAAAAGGAGGACATTTTCCCTTGAGTCAGGCTGACTTCTGATCTTAAAGCCTCACTGTGGGGAAAACAAGCTAAGGCCCCAGTCACATGGGCCAGATAACGCGGGGGGGAGGCGTGGCTCTTTGCGCTGGCACAATTAGACCCACCAGAACACAATCAGACATGACGACGGCACACCGCGGTTTCGTCCGTCAGCACGTGCGCGTCAAGGAGGACAGCCGGGGGGGAAGCCTTGCGCCGGCGCTATCACATGGAACGATTCTTTCGGCAGCCAGTGGCAAACCATTTGCTAGTACATTTGTTGAGATACTTTATAACTGCGCAGCTTCAGTGACACACCACGGGTTGGCCACGGGTGCGCTACACTTGCCAGATGTGGTGGTGTGATCACGCCCTGAAAATCCGCCCAGCACTCATGGCTCTCCCGCAGCAAATTCAGCATGTGAAGGGGCCTAAAGACATTATGATGGACATACGACTCCCTATGACTCAAGAAAGCCCAATATATTGCAGATACACACACTGCATGAACATATGTCCCATGAGGTCCCTGTAAGAGAATGAACCAGCACCAATATAGATTTTGCTCTCGCTGCCATAGTGTATGCAAGAGTAGTTTTTTACTCTTCTTTACAAGAATATGTGGCAATGGCCCTCCAACCAGCATGGTGTGGTTAGAGTGTCAAATTAGGATCTGGGAAATCTACTGTGCCACAGAAACTTGCTGGGTGACATTGGGCCAGTCATCCCCTTTCGCAGTCTTACCTCACAAGGTTGTTCTTGAGAGAAGAAAATAGAGGAGGGGAGAGCTGTTCTGGGTTCTGTTTTTTTATCACACTTAGAGCTGCACAGGATAGTGTCTATCATGTTAATAGGTTTATTTCTGACATCTACATGTCACGTGCCCAATGTTCCCTCTAAGCTGTGGAGTCTTGTGAGCAAAAATTCTACTTTGTGAGCTACTGGCATCAAAGTTGTGAGCAAGCGATTTGGCTACTGCACAAATTAGTTTGCTCTGGAGCCCCCCTTCCTGAGCTAAGACAAAAATGTGTGAGCTGGAGGCTAAAAAACTGTGAGCTAGCTTACACTAACTCAGCTTAGAGGGAATATGTCACGTGCCTGGTAATTTTTCAAAGCAGGGAACTCCAAGAATACATATGATTGACAAGACCCAACGGAGACATGTGAATTTGCCTTCTCAGTGGGGATTCATTCCTGCGTCCTCCTGAGACGCTCTAACCAAAGCACTGCATTGGGTCTCTATAACATGCTTTCTAATTTTTGGCTCATGACTCATTCCAGACCACAGAGAGCTTCATGTCTGAGCAAAGAATATGAAGACTGGGTTTTTGACATCTGAACTCGGCATGTTGTCCACTGAGCTATACTGGCTCTTGGTCCATAGCAGCCACTGACTTTGAAATAGCTACTAATGAAACTAGCCAAGGACAGGTTGCCTGTGATGGGATACTGGGAACAAGCATGAAAATTGGAGAACGACGTTTGAGTCCAGTGACTCCTTGAAGATCAACAAAATTTTATTTAAGGTATAAGCTTTCGTGTGCACGCACACTTCCTCAGATACATTGAAATTGAAGTTACCAGTCCATACACATAGGTAGAGGGTGAGCAGCAAATTAGCATGAGCATAATAAAAGGTGTTTAGCAGATGCAAGGAGGACCAAGCTGGAATAACAAGCTTAGTTTATATGCACCATTTGTTTGGGTTTAATTCTGGGGAGAACATAGTGAAAGAAAGAAAGAAATATATCAAAATTGGTGACAGATGGGCAGATGTACCCTTCTTAATTGTGGAACGTGAAGACTAATTAATTGAGACCCTGTTATTATGCTCCATCTGCCTCCTCTCAAGTGTGGAGGTAAAATCAGATTTTGTCATCATGACCATGACTTACTTATGGATTCCCTTGTGGCACTTGGCCGGCCACTTCCAACTGAATTTAAAGCTAGGTGGACCACAAGTCTCACCCAAGCTGGAAATTCTCATGTTTACTTGTCTTCTTATGCTCATTTATTTGATATGTTTTAACCCTACCTTCCATCCAATGAGCTCAGGGTGGTGTATATCATTTCCCCCTCCTCCACTTTATCCTCAGAACAACCCTGTGAGGTAGGTAATGCTGAAAGCCAGTGACTGTCTCAGGGTCATTCAGCAAGCAGAGTGGAGATCTGAAACCAGACCCTAGTCCAGCAACCCAGCCACTACAACATGCTGTTACACTACGGCACACAACAGTCTCATGGTAACACCGCAGCTTCTTCCACGGATATTTTTCACCTCTGGTTTGGTTCTTGTATCGTTTTATTTGTGACTTACTTTATTGGACCCAGTTTCTGATATTCATCTCTTATTACCGATTTGGCTTTGGCTTCTGCATCAGCTCTGATTTCTGATTTCTTTGTTCTCCTACCAACATGGGAAGAAAAAAAAACATTCTTAGTTCTCATACTCTTAAGTACGTGATGATACTTCCCCATTACTCCACAGCAAGCCTGCTTGTGGAAAAGTTTAAGATGTTATGGGTGGTAGGGTTGCCAAGTCAGAAACTTACCGCAGTGGGGGACTCCTGGCTGTTGTCTGGAGCGCGCCGCATCCACATCACCCGGAAGTGACGCGGGTATGCCAGGCATGCTGGGGGTGGGGCCAGGACCATCTGAGGGAAAACCAGAGAGTTTTCCCTCGGATGACTGTGGCCCCGCCCCCAGCGTGCCCGGCGTACCTGTGTCACTTCCGGGTGATGTGCACGTGGGGGTGCAGTGGGGACTAGCTTTGTTGACAGCTATAGCCTTTTATTTTTCAACTTTGTGGTTTAAAGGCTTTAGATTTGTTTTAAGACTTTTTTAATGCTTTAGTTTTGTTACTCAATTTTGATTTTTTTTAAAAAAAATAATTGTAAACCGCTTTGGGAGCCACTGGCTAGAAACGAAAGACAGCACTAAGCAAGCTCAATAAAAAATACATACAGTTAAATATGCTCAAAGCTAAGCTTAAAGCACAGTTAAGATTTTGTTCCGTCAGCTATACGAATGAAGCGTGTAAGGACCACTTTACTTGCAAATGAGAAGTTTTACCAAGCATGACAAAAACAAACTTTCTTTAAACAATCATGTCCCCCTCCCTCTCCAATAAAATTTTTAGTGTTAAAGTAGATCCCTCATAACAGGCATACGTAGCTTATACAAAGGACTGCCAACCTCCAGGTGGTACCTAGAGATCTCCCGCAATTACAACTGATCTCCAGGCAATAAAGAGCAGTTCCCCTGGAGAAAATGGCTGCTTTGGAGGGCGGACTCCATAGCATTACACCCTGCTGAAGTCACTCCCTGCCCAAGCCCGCCCTCCCCAGGCTCCACCCCCCCAAATCTCCAGATATCTCCCAACCCAGAGCTGGCAACCCTCCTTATCCAGGAGGAGAACCATCCGCCACTCCTATTTTGAGTACAGCACAAAACTTCAAGTGCAAAAAGCAACAGCAGAGGAGCAAAGCTAAAAAGAGGTAGGTACATTTTGCTGTCTCGTTTCCCTTTCATGAATCAGCAGTTGAATAAACCCAGGAGAAGAAATCAGGGAAACAGTGCGGCGGGGGGGGGGGCTTTTAAAAAAACAAAACCTTAACTGAATGCTAACCATACTAAGCCAAATCTGGCCTCCGTGTCTCTTTTTTAAAAAAATTTTAAAAATGGCTGGGAGTGCCAGACTGAACTTCCAAAGCATATCCGGCAGAGCTCTTTGCCTCTGGAGAGCCACTGCCAGTCAGAATAGACAGTTCTGAACGACATAGACCAATGCTCTGACTCAGTATGAGACATCTTCCTATGATACGCAAACAGCCACAGAACATTTGGTTCCAATGACCTCAGCTTAGACGCTCAAGCCATGGGAGTTTAACTTCCTGTTAGTCACCACCACCATCGTTCCCCCACACCTCCCAGGACAAATCCTTTCTTTGTGCAAAAGATACCCTATTCCCCACAACTAGGGAAGAAGCATTTTTTTGTCGCTATCAGAGTTTCTGTTTACAAAGATTCTGTTTACAAATTTATCAGAACTGCAATAATTTATCACCTGCATGCATCTTCCCTAGTAATAGTAGATGCTTGACTGAGGGAGACATGGAAGAGGGGAATCCATTGCTCGTGCATAATCACAAATTGTCTGGATCATTTACTTTATGCAAAGTGCTACCGGATGATAAAATAAAGAATTCTGAGGAAGTCAAGACTGAAATACTAATGTGTTTCTGTTCGTTTTGATCAGGCTAAACTTCTTAGGCAGGCAGCACTAGATACAGAGGTGCTTTGACCTTTGCTACTGTCCTAGACACACACTTCTTCCCAGGGGTCATTTCGTAGAAAAAGAGGGGCAGGACTTCATTAGCATAACTTATTTGCATATGCCACACCACCTGACATCACCGGACGTGTGTCAGAAGGAACCACCCACTGCTTAGGCTCCATTGGACTGTTTTGGATTGCTAGGTATGGGGGGGGGGGCAGATCCTCATGCTCCTCATGGCCTGAGACTGCTGGGAGCAGGGGGCAGGACTTGTTGCATGTGCCCGCCCCCTGGGCTCTTTACTGCCGGAGCTCCGCTCCTGTGCGCTCCTGTAGGAAATGACCCCTGCTTCTTCCCACTTTTCAGGGCCGCAGAAGGAAAATATATCCATTCCAACACTTTCCATGTTAATAGTGTCATGCCATTAATATATACTTCTGATGCTCCCTAGACTTCCATTAATCCTGCAAAACTAAATAAGCCCATCAGTCTACCTTTTGCTTGGGATGCTGTAACAAATATGAAGAGCCTTCTGTAGAAAAGGGTAGGTTACATATACTTTGATTTCTTTAAAAGCGAAAACAGTGGCTGTTTAAAAAGAGGGAGGTGCAAATATTTTCAAAAATATTTGCATTCGGCTTTTCTTACCCAATGATGCTTTTAAAAAGATTTTAATCTCAAGAAAATGAGATTTTAAAATGCTAATTTAAACCTCTTCTCTTTTGCCTGCATGACCCCAAGACAAATTGAGGTTCCACATGCCTATATGTTGCATTTTATAAGCAGATGCATGGAGTTTTATCTCATCTGTTTAAATCTGAAACCACAAGGAAGTTGACAGATATTGTACTCTGGTGCATAATACACTGGGATTTCATCCGGAGGACATGGATTCAAATCCCTGCTCAGTGATAGACTGTGTGAATGCATGGAAATAGTTGTCTTTGGTCAGTGTTCTTTCTCCATATGCTAAAAATGATCTGTTCTGTCAAGTGAGGTTTAGATTTATTTAGAGTATTTTTCCCCCTCTTGGTGTGAACGACTCCCTTTTTCTCTGTTCTTGCACACACAATACACAATACAAAATCTATGTGTCAGGACACAGGTTCCCAACTCAACTCATGGTTAGATGTTCTAGCTCGAACTCACCTTTAAAAACCTCTCTGTTTGGCTCCAAACAGGGTGCAGGGAGGGAGGGATTTCAGACTTCAATCCTGCAGTATTTTCGCCACCCAAAGCAGTGCCAAGTGTTCTTGTTTGCCCCTTTGTCCTGCTTCACATACCTTGGGATGGACACGTGATACCAAAGGAAGGGGCAAACAAGGCAGAATGGGAAAAAATGGAGACCTTTTTAAAGGTGAGTCCCTGCTAGAAATTATAACCATGGGTCGAGTTAGGAACTTGTTTCCTGACACATGGATTTCGCATTGTGTATTTTGTCCCTAAATTCTGGAGTGGATTAAAGTAGTTTAAAACACAGGCATGAATTAAAGGAACAAACTCATCACAGACACCACACCCAGCAGAATGCCAAGCATTAGGGCTGCCAACCTCCAGGTGGCACCTGGAGATCTCCTGCTATTACGATTGATCTCCGGATGATCAAGATCCATTCCCCTGGAGAAAATGCCTGTTTTGGAGGGTGTGGACTCTATGACATTATACCCTGCTAAGGTCCCTCCCCTCCCCAGACTCCACCCCCAAAATCTCCAGGTATTTCCTAACCCAGAGCTGGCATCCCCAGGAAACACCCACTGCCTGAGATCTTAGAAAGCAACTTCTAGTGCAGGGCCATGTGGAGCAATGCTCTGTCACAGCATAGGACCACTTTAGCTGTTCTAAGGGCATCTCTCCACAATTTCTAACACTCCTCAATTACTGACGCTCAGTTACTGACAAACCCCCCCCCCATTTACCCAGCTAAGAAATTGCATTTATATTAATAAGTTTTCCACATACAGGGTGGACTGCAGAGTGGACCACATATTTGATGGAACTAATCATCCAGTTAGCTTTGCAGGTTTGACAAAAGTCAGAAGAAATGCCGGAAATGTGTTTTAACAGCACAGTAATAAATTCCCTGAAACATGCTACATCATGAGTGCAGTAAAGCAGAAATATCTGTTATACTGTCTGTCCTCAATGCTCCAAGGGAAGGAGTTGATGGGGGAGGATGTTGTAAATACCCAGATTAGCAAAAGATTTGCAATAAAACCTTGTTACCGCTCAGTGACAGATTAACAAATTGTGTTACAAAATCACTGAAGTTTAATCCCTGTCACGATGTAACACATTCTGGGCCAAATTTCCAACCACAGACTTTATACCTGCAAAGGCAATGCAGTGTGAACATCACGCCTGGAAAAAAACCTGGCAAATTAATTGCCTAACCACAAAGTTTGCATCAGAGATGCCTCCTTGCCCTGATGAATTTAAGCAAGTACAAGGCATGCAGGTAGCAAAAAAACTCAGAAATTATGTTAAGTGGTGTATAATGAAAAAGGACATTTTTGACAAAGAGAGAGAATTCTACCATCACAAGTTCTACCATAAATATGGCAAATTAGCAAGCTCTGTAGACCTCAACAATGCCAAATACATCACCAAAATGTTGTTTGTGATCTTACATAGGAAAATGCAAAGTAAAAAAATAAATAAATCACAAGTCAAATGCCCAACTCAGGGATCAGGGCACCTCTGCAACATTGTTTAGATACTGACAGTGTGACAATATGTAGACTTACTCCAGTCTAAGCCCATTTATTTCCATACGTCTACCAAGTTTATGAATTGTCCTTCTGACTTCTGAAATCTCTCCCTTCTTTATTGAACTGAATATTAAATACATTAATTATACCAGTTCTGCCTTTCATCCTCTGTTGCAGCTTCCACCTTATTAATATCTTATTATTAACAGTATGTTTTAATAGTATGCACTATCTAGACAAAAATGCTCCTTTGGTTTTGAACATGGTGCCTCCAAATATAAAAATGGACTTATTAAAACATGTACAGTCTCTCCCCAATTAAAAAAAAAAATCTGACTCACACATTTTTGTCTTAGCTCAAGAAGGATGGCTCCAGAATAAACTAATTGATGCAGTAGCCAAATCGCTCACTCACAACTTTAATACCAGCAGCTCACAAAGTAGAATTTTTGCTCACAAGACTCCACAGCTTAGAGTCAAAACCCTACGGGACCACCATAAATCAGCTGGGACTCGACAGCACTTTCTACCACCACTTTGCATCACTTGGGGCGCAATAACTAACTGCTTAGCTTTCGAGATCTGATGAGATCGGGCTAGCCTGGACTATCCAGGTCAGGGCATAGACAACAATATCAATCAAAATTCACAGAAAATACATACTCCTTTGAAAAAGTCCTGTATTCCAATGAAAACCACCATGAACAACCTAAATTACTTTCTTTTAAATGTACATAGGTGCTTCCATGTGAACAGGTGATATATGTTATCATTTGGTAATAAGATAGTAACAGGAAATGATGTCTTCTATTCAGTTTCATTGGTTGGAGTGGTCTACAGCAGGGATTCCCAGATTCAATCCTGTGATTTTGATGTGGCAGAAATTTGATCTTCTGTGTGCAGGATCTGATTCTTTAGTGGCCGTGTGTGTGTGTGTGCCATCAAGTCACAGCTGACTTATGGCTGCAACCCCGTGGGGTTTTCAAGGCAAGGGACATTCAGAGGTGCTGTGCCATTCCTTGCCTCTGCGTAGCAACCCTGGACTTCCTTGGAGGTCTCCTATCCAAGTACTAACCAAGGTCCTGTTTAGCTTGTCAGATCTGATGAGATCGGGCTACCCTGGGCCATCCAGGCCAGGACCAAGTCTTTCCTTAAAGTTCATCTTTTCCATAGAGACTTTGGCTGTTTTCTTGATGTCTATGTCTATGTTTTAGCCTCTACTGAGAGCGGTTAGAATGTGGAATTCGCTGCCAGAGGATGTAGTGATGGCCACAGGAACAAACAGCTTTAAGAGGGGATTAGATGGATTCATGGAGGATAAGTCTATCAATGGCTACTGAGGGGAACCAATGAAAACCACCATGAACAACCTAAATTACTTTCTTTTAAATGTACATAGGTGCTTCCATGTGAACAGGTGATATATGTTATCATTTGGTAATAAGATAGTAACAGGAAATGATGTCTTCTATTCAGTTTCATTGGTTGGAGTGGTCTACAGCAGGGATTCCCAGATTCAATCCTGTGATTTTGATGTGGCAGAAATTTGATCTTCTGTGTGCAGGATCTGATTCTTTAGTGGCCGTGTGTGTGTGTGTGCCATCAAGTCACAGCTGACTTATGGCTGCAACCCCGTAGGGTTTTCAAGGCAAGACACGGTCAGAGGTGCTCTGACATTGCCTGCCTCCATGTAGTGACCCTGATATTCCTTGGTGGCCTCCCATCCAAATACTAAACAAGGTTGACCCTGCTTAGCTCTTGAGATCTGATGAGATCAGGCTAGCCTAGGCTATTCAGCATTCATCATGCTTGTTTTGTGACTTCACCTGTCCTAAATAAAGACCAGGCTGAGAAACGCTAGTCTAGGATGCTGCCTGTCTTTCCAGTTCAGAGATTCCCTTTTTAAATGCTATATTAGTTTGTTTGGGGAAACAGAAAAAATACGTGTCCTCCATAGCACATGTCCTTCGGACACTTCCGAAGACTAATCTCTTGTACTTGCTGCATGAAGATTTCTCCCTCTCTCTGTTCTTTAGGCAGATCCCCACCCTGTCCACCAGTAAGAACTGAGGGGCGGGTTCTCCTCCAGTTTGTATCAGGACCACAGCATGCTTAGGGAAGCCTTTCTTTCCTGCAGCATTCTCCCAACAAGAAATAATCCCAATGAAGAAACGAATGTGTCTCCCAGGTACTTGCAGGTTAGTCCCATGGGCAAAATAGCTCCCCCCCCCCAAATACTGTACTATTTCTAGTCAGGAAAATCTGTTTGAGAAATGATCTATCGCTTTGACCACAATTAGAATTACAGCCAAGTTATACAAATAAGTCAGACAAAAAAAAGTACCTTAAGGTGATGCCTCCATATAGGAAGGAGATCCAAAGCCATCCAAAAAACAGAAAAAGCACCATCAAGGGAAATGCAAACACAAACCAAGAACCAAAGTTTACAACATCGCATTCTGGAAAAAAGCTTTGACAAGAAGAGAGACCAATTAATATATAAACTGTGGGAAAAGAATGTTACATGTGCAACAAAGGGCAAATATAGCATACAAAAATTCCAGTCATGAATACCTGGAATATCCTAATATAAAACATCCCAAGAGCAGCCAAAATTTATAATGGCTGACTTACACAATATTCTGGCATGAATGATCTCCATATTCAGAAAGTCCCTTGTATTTGGATACACAAACACACACACCCCTTGTATTTACTTTGCTGGTTAGATCCAGCAAAAATTTCCACTGATGAAAGTGCTGGTTTTTGTCAATTCCCCCCTTTTGCAGCAGATCTCCAACTCCATAGGGGGCGTTTTGGGCTGCATCAGAAGGAAAGAGT